GGCATGGCTCATAATTCAAAATGGAATGTAATTTGCCGTTTTTAGGAGAGAAACTGTCGCTCGTGGGAGGAAGTGTGTGAAAGATAGGACCAGCATGCTGCTGTGCATGTGAGCGGCAGCCAAGGGGTCCACTTCAAATGTTACGTTTTTCTTGTACTTATTATGCATTCTGTAGTTTTAAATGTCATTTACACTAAATATCATAACCCATTCCGATCGGTAGTTTGCCTTTTATTTTTAATAGAACCAGTTAATACTACTATGGATTTCGCCATGCAGGAAGCTTGAGTATGTTTCTTGTGTAAAGCACTGCGTAGAAAAATGGTGCAAGTAACTACTTTCCGATATTTGTTGGATGAATGACATGAAATCCTGGCCATCGGCCCCATCCTTTGGTATTTGCCATTTCCGTACGTACGACAGGAACAGCGGCTGGATTTAAAGAGTTGACCTAGCGCATCACTGTTCTACGGAAACAAATGGCGGATAGGTTTTTACCTATAAGATTGCGGCTAAGGGGTGATGTCTGCAAGGAACGTACCTACACACCAACACTTGTCGTATTTTCGATCAATTTAGCTAAAAATAAAAGACGAACGACCCATTGTGCATGTATATTTGAAGAGCTGTAGGCAAGGAATGCTCTCGATGACCCTATTGATGTAAAGTAACCATTGCATTTTTACAGCCAATATGAAGTTATAGACATTTAATGTAACCGGTCTTTGAATGAGTTTTTGCGGTACAATGCGAGACAGCATGAAGACAAACTCCAGACAGAAGTTTCTTTATAAGACTGATACTAAGACCTGTAGGGATATAACTAGTGGTCATGCCTAGATCAGTACAATCATCAGATCGAATCCCAGGTTGGAGGGGAAAGGCAAGAGTCACCAGAATGAGGGGTTTATTGTATACAGAACTCCCAGTTACAGTCTCAGGTGGCAGTGACCACTGGCGAAGCCATGGCTAGTGCTGACTGCGTCCAGCCAGGCCTGAGAGTTGACTGTGTGTTGTGTGGGGTGATTACAGTTGCTTTTACATGACTG